CTTTGGGGAGGTCTGGAGTTTGAGATATGCTCAGTAGATTGGTGAAAAGGGAGGATGAGTCTTCCACTGGTATTCCCTGATGTCTTACCATGGGAAGAATATTGGGCAAACCTGCCTGTTCTCTCCATGACTGCAGCTGTCCCACTGCTGAAAAAAACCCATAAATTTGAGGATTATTGTGTAAAATCCCAAGTGCAACCACTCCTTTGTCTCAGGGGATGAGCTCTGAGCCTTCAGCAGGTTCAGAGCTGGACTGGAGGTCTGGGACAGTGGAATCAAGGAATGGGTTGGGTTGGGAAGGACCTCCAGGGCCATCCAGTGCCAGCCCTGCCATGGGCAGGGACACCTCCCACTAGCCCAGGCTGCTCCAACCTGGCCTTGGACACTTGCAGGGATGGGGCAGCCACAGCTTCCCTGGGCATCCTATGCCTTCCATGATATGGCAGAACATAAAATTTTCCAGCAAATACCCAGGCAATATGAAAATAACGAATTCCCAGGCTTTAGAAGCATTCCAGATATTGCTGCTGCCTTAGACTTAGAGCTGAGTTCCCTCAGGATCTGCTGATTCCTCAAAAAAAAAAAATCAGAATAAGTTAAGAGCAGGTGAGAAAATTTCAGTGTTTATCCAGTTTTATTGATTTATCCACCACCACTGAAATCAAATTCCTCGGCAGGATGGTGTGTCCTGCTCTGGATGTCACAGAAATATCCATATTTTTATTTAGGAAGCTGATCTTATCAGGAATATCCGGGATCTTTTGAAAAGAACTATAATCCAAGCCACCAACCAGATCCGGTAGGACATTTTCCCTGCTACTTTAGCAGCTGATTTCTGGAGCCATAATAAATTCCTGGGACATGGGAATAGTGGATAAAGACCTCACCAGTGCTTATGGGCTGTGGGAATTCCATTTCAATTTGGAAAAGGCAGTGATGAAACTCGAGGATTTTCAAGTAGAATAAAGTAGATTTGGATTTCCAGGCCTGTTTTCCAACGTGGGGTTGATTTTTTCCAACACTAAATTCCGGTGCTATAAAAGTATTCCCTGGATGATTCTTGCACCTTGTGATGGATTTGTGTATTGGCTGCTTTAAAGGAATTTCACCTTTTCCAAATGAGTTTTTTTGCCACCAGGTGTCAGTGTGAACTTTAAATCTGTCCCAGCAGGGGTGTTCACTGCCTTTCCAAAGGATTATTTGCTTGGAATTTCTAACAAACCCTTTGGAAAGATGTTACCTGACCCCTTAAGATGCATCAATAAAACCGTATCTGACTGCTGGAAACCTTGAGATTTTAACTTTAAATTTTTTTTAATCTGCTCCTATTCTACCAGATAAAATAAAATATTGCTTTTAAAAAGAATGGCTATAAATGCAAAATAATATAAATTAATTCTGTTACATCAATTAGAGGACGAGAGGAGCCTATTTGGCTTTTTGTAATTCTTGTAAAATCATTTTAGTCCCATTTAGACCCATTTTAGTTCCATTTTCTGGTAGAATATAAATTCCTTGGGTGAGAGTGACATCTGCTGTCCCCAGCTGATAACGACCCGCAGGCTTTGGGAATGGAAATGTTAATTAATCGGGTGATGTGTGACT